TGAAGAAGAAAGAAGAAACAGACACACACAGCACTCCTCAACCACAGTGGCACTTGCTCAAACAGAGGATATAGGCCAAGAGAACAACAATAGCCCTCCCAGCTTACAAGACCCTGCTACACCTATACAAACCTCAGAACAGCAGCTGTCCCCAAGTCAAGGAGCATCAAGTGCCTCACTACCTTCAAGTACTGCAAGCAAGAAACACAAAAGCCCATTTCCTACCCAGAGCAATACACTCTTGAGTTACTTCCAGCCAAGGTCTACAAGCATATCCTCTGCTACTCCAAGGACACCTCAGCAAGCACACCCACACTCTATCAGTAGAACACCTCAGTTAGGCAATCAGCCTTCTGTTGGTAGTGTAACTCAGCCAGAACATCACTCTTCCACTGACACAACAACCCAGACAGAGCCAGTTGAGAGCACTGCTTCTAAACTTACAAAGCAACTTCACAACTTCCATAGATGTACCCACCAAGACCATGCAGAGCAAGAGCAGGCACACAACAGACACCACCAAAGAGATGATGTTCACTCTGAGTGTGCCTCATTTGAGTCAATCACTAGGCTGCTATGTGGAGACTACAACAATGGGACTCCTCTTCCAGATGTCCTGAGCAATCCTTGTTTCAAGAGGGCAGAAGGCTTAGCAGATGGCATTGACTGTCAGGGTGCCTTTGAAGGCACAAGTCCTATAGCCTTGCCTAAGGACATTGGGACACGCAATGAGAAGCTGCCATTAAGCCTCTGCATGTCCAAATACTATCAAAGCAGCACCACAGCCTGTGTTCCTAAGACCACATTTGACATGAATGGGCAAATGGGGGTCAGGGTTAGGAAAAAGGTTGTGGACATTTTCATCTAATATTGTAGACCTAGGCTTCAGGAGTTCAGATCTGCCCTTATATTGTCAATAGGTGTTGTGGTTGTGGTGTTATTGTTGTTTAAAGTGTATAGGTTGGTAGTCAATAGCCTAATCAGGTAAGGCTTGTTCTCTAGGTGCACTAACCCAAAACATATTTAATCAGCAATCCAACCACCACTGTACATTGCACCTGCACCTGTACTCAATAACAGCCACTGAGGCTGTCAATACATTGTTTGAGTTAGTACAAGATGTCCAGCATCTTGAGTAGCTTGTATGTCTTGACTATGGGCAGTGTCTAAGTTACAACTAACAATGTACTCTTGGTAGAACCCACTAACCCAAAAGGTATTTAATCAGCAATCTAACCAAAACACCTCTCAGAGATGTTTAGTAGCTAGCATCACAGTAGACAAGTCCATGATATATCCAAAACTACCCACAGAAGGGTACAGAGCTTTTAGTAAACTAATTCTAGCAGTGGGCAAGTAATTCTTGAGATTGATATTAGAGAAAAAGCAGGCTAACCTGATTTGGATAAATCAGCACTGCACTAAGCCATATCTGATTAAATCAGCAATATTTTCAGACAAGAAGAGCTGAGCTATTCTTCAACTCAACCAGCCAGACAGTCAACAACAAACCAGAGAAAATGCCTTTGGGCTGTAACGCCTTTGACCAAAAGCACTCCGATAATGTGTGGTCCCTGCAGGACTCAGCACACCGCTCTCCTTCCTGTCGCTAACTACCTCCGT